GAGTGGGGGTGGCCCCGGCGGGCGCCTGCAAATATCACGGCTGCTGACGGCGCTGGTTATTCTTAGCACCCCGCGGAGGCGCAGGGGGGTCTGCCTGGCAGCACGGCCTGGAACCGGCGGGCTCCCCTGGAGCAGATGGCCCAGCTACATAAACCGGCTCCCTCCAAGGCACCAACGGGGAAGGGATGGGGAAAGCAGCATGGCCAGATTGTGCCCGGAGCCCTGCCTGGCACTGACCCAGCTGCAGCAAGCATCTGCAAGGAGAGGGGGTGCCTCTGGAGACACCCTGAGATCAGGACAGGGTGCAATCTCCTCTCCCAGACCCCCCCGGGGAGGGTTGCCCCAACGTGTGCATTGGGAAGATGGGCTGCGGCTGCAGAACCTGGACAGAGCCTGCAGCTCCCAGCTCCTGGACGGATGGCACGTGGCTTGGGTCTCCCTGCAAAGAGAGGAGTGAGCCGCTCAGCCCACGACGGGCACGGAGCTGGCTGAGCCCGGGTGCCTCCACGACCCTGCACATTTCCCCCTGTGCTCCCCTCCCCAGCCCATCACCCCCTGCAGCCTGGGGGGCTGCAGGAGAAGCAGGGGCAGGGATGGGGTCTCTGCACTGAGCTGGGAGCAGAGCACCCCACATTTCAGCCAGAAGGGAATCCTGTTCGGAGCCGAAAGAGAGACATGGAGCCTCTCTGCGTCCGATGCACCGTTCTGAGCCCATGCTCTCTGAGTCTGCACCAGCCCTGAATGAGTCCTCGCTCCCTCCGGCTTATCGGCCTGTGCCGGCCGTGACGTAGGGCTGGCAGGGCCTCTGCCTGTGTCCGGGGTGCCGGCTGCCTCACCCGGGGCACCGAGCAACTGGGTGCCCTTGAGGAAAGCGGGTGTGCGGAGCTGCAGGCAGAAATCAGCACTGTCGCAGTCCTGAGAACAGCAGGACCCAAAAAGGCCAGAGCTAAACATAGGAAACCTACTTTTCGGCTGTCGCCGCCAACAGGGGGCTGGATGCCTGCTCCCGGCTGATAGCCTCGTCCCATCACGTGGCTCCAGGATCTGGGGCTTTAGGGAGCCCGTTGTGGCTTGCAAGGCTTGCAAGCAAGACTGTGGTGGCCCGTGACACGTGCCGGTTGCGATGAGGAGCGAGGAGCTGATGGCCGGGGAGCCGCAGGGCTGGCCTGGGGCGGGAGCCCGCGCCCCGGGCCCGGCGGAGG